AGCAGGAATTTCTGTCGTGTGAGTCACAGGAACACTTTTATAAAACTAAGGCTAGATCATGCTTCTAGTTAATAACATGCAACGAGGTTCTCAGTGAATGTTGTATTTATGCATTTTTTTCTCTTCTGATTTTTATATCATTGACAATAAAGCGATTGATGATGTCCTTGTGAATGATCGCAGAATGCTGGTGTAGACGGTGATTATGCCTTTGCGAGTAAGCCAACCAACAATGGAAATGCTAACTCTGAATGTGCTACTGAAAATACCTTGGCAACTTTTGAATATGGAGCTCCCGGCTTGATGGATGATGGAAGAGTTGGGAATGGAAGCAGAAAGGATGCTTCACCATATGATTCGCATCTGATGACAGAGCCATATGGTGTCCCGAGTATGGTTGAAATATTTCACTTTTTATGCTCGTTACTAAATGTGGTCGAACATGTTGGAATGAGCCCCCAGTCAAACACCATAGCATTTGATGAAGATGTGCCTCTTTTTGCGTTGAGCTTAATCAACTCATCCATCGAATTGGGAGGTGTGTCCATCCGCCATCATCCGAGATTGTTAAGCCTGATTCAGGATGAGTTATTTCGTAACTTGATGCAGTTTGGCTTGTCAATGAGCCCCCTTATTCTTTCGATGGTTTGCAGCATCGTGCTCAATCTGTATCATCATCTACGCACTGAACTTAAACTGCATCTGGAGGCATTCTTTTCTTGTGTGATTCTGAGGCTTGCACAGGGCAAATATGGGGCTTCCTATCAGCAGCAAGAGGTTGCTATGGAGGCTCTTGTTAACTTCTGTAGGCAGAAGACCTTTATGGTGGAGATGTACGCCAATCTCGATTGTGATATAACTTGCACCAATGTTTTTGAAGAGCTGTCGAATCTCCTTTCCAAGAGTGCATTTCCTGTAAACGGTCCTTTGTCGGCAATGCACATTCTTGCTCTGGATGGCCTGATTGCTGTCATTCAGGGAATGGCTGAGAGGATAGGTAATGGATTGGCTGGTCTGGATCTAAGTCCGGTCCACCTCGATGAATACACACCTTTCTGGATGGTTAAGTGTGACAATTACGGTGATCCAAATCATTGGGTTTCATTTGTCCGCAGGAGAAAGTATATCAAGAGAAGGTTAATGATTGGGGCAGATCATTTTAACCGGGATCCAAAGAAAGGGTTGGAGTTTCTACAAGGGACGTATCTTTTACCTGACAAACTTGACCCACAAAGCGTAGCTTGTTTTTTCAGATATACCGCTGGACTGGACAAGAACCTTGTTGGGGATTTTCTGGGAAATCATGATGAATTCTGTGTTCAAGTTCTCCATGAATTTGCTGGAACTTTCAATTTCCAGGACATGAATCTTGATACTGCACTCCGACTCTTCTTGGAAACTTTCAGGTTGCCTGGAGAATCGCAGAAAATACAGAGAGTGCTTGAGGCATTCTCTGAAAGGTACTATGAGCTATCGCCACAGATTTTTGCTAACAAGGATGCTGCTCTTTTACTCTCGTACTCTCTTATTATGCTGAACACTGATCAGCACAATGTTCAAGTGAAAAAGAAGATGACAGAAGAGGATTTCATTCGTAATAATAGGCATATCAATGGAGGAAGTGACCTACCCCGAGAATATCTGTCTGAACTCTATCACGCAATCTGCAACAACGAGATTCGAACTACTCCAGAACAAGGTGCTGGTTATCCTGAAATGACTCCCAGTCGCTGGATTGATTTGATGCATAAATCGAAGAAAACCGCTCCATATATTGTGGCTGACTCAAGGGCCTATCTTGACCATGATATGTTTGGTATTATGTCTGGCCCAACCATCGCTGCCATATCTGTCGTATTTGACCACACAGAACATGAAGATGTTTACCAGACATGCATCGCCGGATTCTTGGCTGTTGCGAAAATATCTGCTTGCCATAATCTTGAAGATGTTCTCGATGACCTGGTTGTGTCTCTCTGCAAGTTCACAACTCTGTTGAATCCGTCATCTGTTGACGAACCAGTTCTTGCATTTGGTGATGACACAAAGGCAAGGATGGCAACTGTTGCCGTTTTTACAATTGCAAACAAGTACGGGGATTATATCCGTACGGGTTGGAGAAACATTTTGGACTGCATCTTACGGTTACATAAACTCGGCCTTCTACCAGCTCGTGTAGCCAGCGATGCAGCTGATGAATCTGAGCTATCATCTGATCCAGGACAAGGGAAACCCATCACAAATTCTCTATCTTCCGTTCATTTACCATCAGTGGGAACTCCTAGGAGATCTTCCGGTTTGATGGGGAGATTCAGTCAGCTCCTTTCGCTTGACACAGAGGAGCCAAGATCACAACCTACCGAACAACAGCTTGCTGCTCATCAACGCACCCTTCAAACAATCCAGAAATGCCACATTGACAGCATATTCACGGAAAGCAAGTTTCTGAAAGCGGAATCTTTGCTGCAGCTTGCACGTGCTCTCATCTGGGCGGCAGGGCGGCCTCAAAGAGGAAACAGTTCTCCAGAGGACGAGGATACTGCAGTTTTCTGCCTAGAACTGCTTATTGCAATCACTCTTAACAACAGAGACAGGATCGTTCTCCTATGGCAGGGTGTTTATGAACACATAGCTAATATTGTTCAGTCAACTGTAATGCCCTGTGCGTTAGTAGAGAAAGCCATTTTTGGTCTCCTTCGGATTTGCCAGAGATTGCTGCCTTATAAGGAAAGTCTGGCCGACGAACTTTTGAGGTCACTTCAGCTCATGTTGAAACTCGATGCTCGTGTTGCCGATGCATACTGCGAACAAATCGCCCTTGAAGTCAGCCGTCTTGTGAAAGCTAACGCGAGCCACATCAGGTCCCAGGCAGGGTGGAGAACAATCACATCCCTTCTGTCTATCACAGCTCGGCATCCGGAAGCTTCCGAAGCAGGATTCGATGCCATATCATTCATCATGTCTGATGGATCTCACTTGTTACTGGCCAACTATATACTCTGTATTGATGCTGCAAGACAGTTTGCCGAGTCTCGAGTTGGACAATCCGAGCGGTCAATCTGTGCCCTCGATCTGATGGGAGGTTCCGTGGAGTGTTTGGCCAAGTGGGCCCGCACAGCTAGGGAGAGCATGGAGGGAAATGAATCCGGCAGAATGTTCCAAGATATCGGGGAGATGTGGTTAAGGCTTGCTCAGGGATTAAGGAAAGTGTGTTTAGACCAAAGAGAAGATGTCAGAAGCCATGCATTACTGTCGTTACAGAAATGCTTGGTTGGAGTCGACGGGATCCAACTTGCTAACAACGGCATGTGGGCTCAGTGCTTCGACAAAGTAATATTCACGGTCCTCGACGACTTGCTTGAAATCGCTCAGGGATCGCCAAAAGACTACTGGAACATGGAAGGGACGATGCATCTGGCAATCAAACTTCTATCCAAAGTGTTTCTACAGCTACTCCGAGACCTGGCCCAGTTAACGACGTTCTGCAAGATCTGGCTTGGCGTTCTGACCAGAATGGAGAAATACATGAAGGTGAAAGTGAGAGGGAAGAAAAGCGAGAAGCTTCAAGAAGCGGTACCCGATCTCCTCAAGAACATATTACAGGTGATGAAGGCGAAAGGAGTGCTCGTGCAAAGGAATGCTCTCGGTGGAGACAGCTTGTGGGAGCTAACATGGCTTCATGTCAACAACATTTCCCCGTCTCTCCGATCCGAGTTGTGCCCTGACCACGACCCTGCCCAACTTACGCAACCTGGAGGCGGCTCGGCTGTTGATGATGCTGTCGCAAACCCTCCAAATGGGTTAGCTGGTTCAGAAGGAGCCGCTGCTGCCACGGGTTAACACGTTGGGTTAAACCATTTCATGTGTACATCCATATGACAGTGAAGCTGCTGGTTCCTATAGTTCATCTACGTTTGTGGTGTGTCTCGACCACTGGTAAGGAGTCTCTAGAGCCAATACGGGAAAAGGAAGAGTCAGATAAATGTTCCTTAACGTGGTACCCAGCAGCTGATGATGATGGTGATGATGATGTTTGTTGTATCCATTTTCTGAGTTTTTTTATCATGCAAATGTGTAATCCCCTCTCATTCCCAAGTTACAAAAAAAAAAATCCCAAGTTAGAAAAAAAAAAGGACGATTGGTCGGTGGGACCCACAAGAAGAAAAATATCGACCAGATTCAAGAATCTTGCAGCCGTCGCGAAAAAGATCTTCGCTTCCTTCGTGGCAGAGTCGTCCACGGCGCGATTTTCTTCCCCCATAGATTTTCCCGGAAAATAGATTTCCATAGTCCCGGAAAATAGGACCTACCAATGGAGTCGTTAACATCGGTTTCTCCTGCCATAATACTCCCGCCCAGTTCCACGATCTTCACTTCGACATCGAGATCGGCGATTCGTGTTCGACTCTGTCGTTCTTCATCGTTTTCCGGCATGTCTTGCGTCCGGAGACGGAATCCGATTTCGAGGCGAGGAGCGTTCGTGTGCTGCAAATCGAAGGGAAGAGATGGTGAGGACGGCGATGAAGACGGAAGAGAGGATGTGGAGAGAGCGTTTAACTTGGACGGTACGATCCCTGGTACTTCCGATGAGTTCGTGAGGAGAGTGTCGTCACGCGCCTACGACATGCGTCGACAGCTTGAGCAGACGTTCGATTCCAGCAGCTATGATGGTAATCTATCGGTTCCGTTCTTTGAATTCGTTGACGATGATCGTTTATTTCTCATAACTGTGTTGTGTTTCCTCGATATCGATCTCTGTTTCTGCCTCGAATCTGATGCTCGTCAGATGTTGTGCTAAGAATTCCTCGGAAATCTGGTCACTGGAAAATGTTTGCCTTGAGCGTGAATTAGGGCAACAGCTTGCTGCTCATCAACGCACCCTTCAAACAATCCAGAAATGCCACATTGACAGCATATTCACGGAAAGCAAGTTTCTGAAAGCGGAATCTTTGCTGCAGCTTGCACGTGCTCTCATCTGGGCGGCAGGGCGGCCTCAAAGAGGAAACAGTTCTCCAGAGGACGAGGATACTGCAGTTTTCTGCCTAGAACTGCTTATTGCAATCACTCTTAACAACAGAGACAATGATTATGATTCTTTAACAATTGCGAAGTTGTGTTCAACCTCCACCAAGGAACCATGGCGATGGATCTTTTAGTTATCGCCACTATGATTTCGCCATTGTTATAAACATCATGCTACTGCTACCAATAAAATTGGCCTGTTCTCAGCAACAGTTGCCTCATGGGAGTCTCAGTTCGCAGTTGGTATTTTGAGTAGCGTTCATTTCCAAGTTTTCCATCTCTATTTTCATGTAATTCACAAGTTGAATCCTCTTGCTTGGGGTTACTGCTGTGTGATTTTTTTTTTTTGGTTGAAAAGCTTCTCAATTGTCTTCTCTTTACAACTTCAGTGTTGGATTCCAATCCATGGAGAGAAGACACCAAGCCAGTATATGTACTAACACACAGAGAAAACCAGCTCTGCACCATGAAAACCAGGAGAAACCGCAGGTTCGAATTTCACTTCCTTGTCAAAGCATCGCATTTTTCAGTTTCCCTCATTGCTGTACATTACAACAATGTTTTTTTTGTGGTTGTAACAGTGAAGTAGAGAAAGAGCTTGGACTGTTGTTTTCTAGGACGAAGCAGTCTAGACCCGAAACCAAGTTCCAGATGCTCGTCGAAGATATCCAAGAGGGAGTTCTTGTAAGTATTCCATGTTTAAATTCTCTTCCCGCTTGTTTTTCCTCAACAAAGTCAGGAACTTGAGGGAAGTTCAGTTGGTAAATCTTAGTGTTTTTTATCATTCCAAAGATCCCGTCATGTTCTATTTCTTGGCAGATCTTCGAAGATGCGAATGAGGCTGTCCGGTACTGTGACCTGTTACAAGGAGGAGGCCGAGGCTGTGAAGGCGTTGCAGAGATCGAAGCCTCATCCGTACGATGCTTCTACATATATAGAATCATACATACACCAAAAAGGTGTTGCCTTTTCACTAGGAAGTGATCTTAATTTTGGTTGTTGCTCCTTTTTTTGAAGGTATTTGATATTTGCCGGAAAACAAGGTCGTTGGCGGTGATATTCCGGCGGGGAAGAACACCGCCGACTCCTCAGACGCTGGAGCGTAACTTGAGATCCCGTAAGCGTTCCCTTGAGGACTTGAGAGACGGTAATTAGCCTCCTTTACATACAATTGTTTTCTTCTTTTTTCTTCTTAAAAAAAGTTTGATGGATACTGTATATATGTATATATCTGTTGACTTTTGGCTCTTATTGTTCAAATCTATATGATGCATATACTGTTTGTTCAATGGACAATATCACAATTAAACTGTTTGTTCAATGGTTAATTAGTAAAATTAGACGAATTTCGCATGTTTTGTTTTTACACGACAACTTGCAAAAAGGGGTTTAGAAAATTGAACCTACCTCGATGACTTACCTAATTGGCATTTTAAGGAGATTTCTTCAATCTCTCCGCGCGATGCGTTTGGCCAAACAATTACATTATATTACTCACCCAAGTGTCTGTAAGCATTTTATGGCCACATTAATAAAAAAAAATCACATATATTGATATTTTAAAAAATATCTACGGATTAGTGCGAATATAGGACGTGGAAAAATATGCAAATGGCAATCCAAGCGATGCAGTATTATTATCATATGATCGTTGACTGAGCATCCATTGCTGATCCAATATAATACTCCATTCATTTCAAAATATTAAAAATAATTTATTATAATTTGGTAGAGGTAATATTAAAAATTGTTATAAAAAAAATATCTTGAAAAATATAGAATGATGAAAAATAACCTAAAAATTCAAATATTTTGAAAAGGAGTATTTTACTAAAATAAAATACAATTTTGGCAACTATGGCTTTACCAATCGGTAGAATTTAATTTCCACCAATTGCGTTATTTATTCACAAAAAAAAAAAAAAAAAAAAAAAAAACATATGCAAGTTATTCATCAGTCACGGATCTAGGAGGGAACAAAAAAACGAGATAACGGCGACAGACTTTAAATCGCTGAAGTGAAAAGGATGAAAAAGTCCCATCTCTGACGGCGGAGGTAACGTCTCTCTCTCTCTCTCCTCTCAAAGGGGGTCCCCAATTGCTTTCCCCAATTCACAGGGAAGAATATCTGAATTCTCACCCGAAATCCACTCATCTTCGACTTCCCCTCCTTCAATCCAATTCTTCTTCTTCGAATCTTTCGCCGCTTTTTTGCGTCTCTGATCGTCTTTAGAGGTTGTTTCCGGTTGCGATGAGCTCCGGTTCGTCGGCGGCGGGGAACGGCGACGACGACGCGGCGGCTGCTGGGAAGAGCGAGGCGTCCCCTTCGTACGACAAGCAGAAAGAGAAGGCGCGCGTGAGCAAGACATCGCTGATCCTCTGGCACGCCCACCAGAACGACCCGGCCGCGGTCCGGAAGCTGCTCGAGGAGGATCCGTCTCTGGTTCACGCGAGGGACTACGACCGCCGCACGCCTCTCCACGTGGCTTCGCTCCACGGCTGGATCGATGTCGCCCAGTGCTTACTCGAGTTTGGCGCCGACGTCAACGCTCAGGATCGGTGGAAGAATACGGTATCGATCTTCTGCATTTGGGCTTTGAATCGCTCATGTTGAGTCTTTTCTGCTCCAATTACCTTACGTTGATCTGGATTCTGTATTTCCTCTTTTGGGTGCTCGTAGCCTTTGGCCGACGCTGAAGGAGCCAAGAAGCAGATAATGATCGAGCTTTTGAAGTCACACGGCGGTTTATCTTACGTGAGTTCGAATTCCTTTCCAATTTCTCCAACTTTATATCGAGAATCCTTAAAGAAATTAGATTCTTTTGTTCCGCGATGGAGGGCCGAAACATACGTGTTATGAGTTCTTCTCAGTTCTCATATGATCTTGAATTCGATTTCTTAGTCGGGCATTTTCTCTCTGTTTTCTTCGTTTCTTTGTCTAGTATGAGCTCAATGCGCTATTCTTTGTCTTCCTTCCTCATTCTAGATTTTCTTACAGTTCAACTGTTAGTATAATGGATGACAGGTTTGATGAAGATTTTGTTATATTGTGTACTTCAAATTGTAAATCTTTGAGAAATTTGATTCCTTTTGGACGGGAGTGGTTTTGTCAAATTTTTCCAGTGGATGTTTATGATGTTCTCTTGAATAGGGTTTGTTTGTCGAGACAGTCTTTTTTTGTCCTCTGGTTTTCGATGAATCTTGCTGAAGCTTAGCGCACTATTACTAGGATGGATTTCTGATTTGAAGTCTCTTCTGTTGTCTTGTGCACTCGGTCTTTGTTCTTCTTCATCTCATTTGCCTGAGTACTTCTTGATGCAGGGTCAAAACGGAAGTCATTTTGAACCAAAGCCTGTTGCACCCCCTATTCCAAAAAAATGTGACTGGGAGATTGACCCTTCTGAGCTGGACTTCTCAAATGCCGCAATGATTGGAAAGGTTTTACCTTAAGTCTTATTCTTAGTGTTGATTACATTGGAGAAGAATTTGTAGTTCAATTGGCCCTAGAAATAGTTGAGTTATGAATCAACCCGAATTTGTTTATTCGAGTTGTGTTTTTCTGTGGTTAAGTCTTTGGCTAATGGGTGCTCATTCTGTTAGGGTTCCTTTGGAGAGATTGTAAAAGCCTATTGGAGAGGGACGCCGGTAGCTGTGAAGCGTATTCTTCCATCTCTTTCAGATGATAGACTGGTGATGTAAATATATTGACCTTTGTTTCTTTTCCTCTTAGTTTCACCAGTTTTCAAGGCAATTGCATGAGAAATTTGGCTCTCATTTCCTTTTCAACTTTCTAGATTTACTCATGAAGAATTATAATTTCCTCATATTCATATGTTGATGAGGAACCAAGATTCATTGTTATTGACGAAACTTTCTTTGACCACTCGTTTTTAATAAAATTGAAGTTTGCTGTTCAAGTTGACAATTTCTAGCTGCCCTGATATCTGATATCTCATCTCTGTGTATGCAGTCAGGACTTCAGGCATGAGGTCAATTTACTAGTTAAGCTTCGCCATCCAAATATAGTGCAATTCTTAGGTGCCGTCACAGAGAGAAAGCCCCTCATGTTAATAACTGAATACTTACGTGGGGTAGGTTCCTGCAGTTTCTGTAGGTTCGAGTTTGAGTTCTCTACACAATATTTCTGCCTGTTCTCTTCTATTTTAACAATTAGTGCCATATATATACATGATGCATCTACTTTTTCTCAGGGAGATCTTCACCAATACCTCAAGGAAAAAGGTGGCCTTAGTCCATCAACAGCTGTTAACTTTGCATTAGACATTGCAAGGTACTTGACGCTACGTTAAGTATCATTACGATTCTGAAAAGTATTTGAATGCCGTGTGAATATGATTTATCTACTATTAATTGGGGTGAGAACTAGTTCGAATATGAAAATATTGTCACTAAATTGGCCTGATTTTGTTCCCCCCCCCC